ACCCGTGACCCGTGCCACCACCCATCCCTCCCCCGGGCATGCCTCCGGTCGGGGGCCTGGGCCGGGCAGCCTGGATGAGGTAACAGCAGACTTCCTCCCCGTTTTTAACAGGTTTTTCTAGTCAACTTTAGTTAAGTGGGGAAGCAGCCGGGTACCCTAGGCAAGCTCGACAGCGGCAGTATGGAAAGAAGGGACTGGACCCCGGACACCCGTGCCACCACCCATCCCTCCCCCGGGCATGCCTCCGGTCGGGGGCCTGGGCCGGGCAGCCTGGATGAGGTAACAGCAGACTTCCTCCCCGTTTTTAACAGGTTTTTCTAGTCAACTTTAGTTAAGTGGGGAAGCAGCCGGGTACCCTAGGCAAGCTCGACAGCGGCAGTATGGAAAGAAGGGACTGGACCCCGGACAGAGGGCCGGTCTATCCGGGTGGCGCTCATGCCCCGCTCATGCCCTGGGGCGGCACAGCCTCCCTGCCTCTGCAGTCTGTTTACATGGTCAGCTCAGCCTGCCCTGGGCTGCTTTATGCTGGGGAAGTGTTAACCAGCCATATTGGCTCAGGAGAGCTTCAGTAAGAAGTGAATTTCCTTCTAGAAATCAGTGCCTATTTTTCCTGAAAATTCAATTTTAAATAGCCAGTTCCATCTGAAGTCCAGCTGTTGTCGTCTTTGTCATTCCCACCCAGTGATGTCCCATGACACCCCGTAGGTCAGATGAACCACCATTTTCATTTGCGTCCTTTGTATTAAAATTATTTTGAAGGGGTTTCTTTGTTGGATGGCTTTTTTCCTTTTCTCCCAGAGAGACAGTACTTGCAAAGTAATGTATGTTTACATCTATTTGCAAATTCTGTACATAGAGATACATTTCCTAAGTGTGAATGTTGCAGCATACTGTGAATTCCTTCTTGGTTACAAATGAGACTCCTTCAGTCTTCTATCTAAATAAAATCAGTTCTGAAGCTGCCCCCTTGTCCTTGGGGACAAAAGCTGGGACTCCACACCTTGAGACCAAGACTGGAGGATCCAGGCCAGGAGAGGGGCAAGGAAGCCTCTGCCCGCCCCTGTGGTCCCCGCCTTTACCTGGGCCTGGCACAAACACCGCCTCTGCTGCCTCTTTGGGTTCTTTGGGCGCTGGTGGAGGGCAGCCTGGCCAGCTGCCCTGGCTGTCTGTGCCTGCTGTCTACCAGGCTCACATCAGAGCCTCTAGTCCCTGTCTGCCCGGCCACCCCTTGTCCCTCCAGAGACCAGCAGTGAGCACCAGCCAGGAGGCTCGCAAAAGAGGCCTTTATTTATCTAGAGCAAAGTATACACTGTCACAGTCTTATTTGTTACTCCTTTTACTAAAATAGTTCAAATCAGTGTTTTTAACCACACTATCAAAAAGTCTATTTTTCTCCCGTAAATCAGAGTGGTTGGACAGGGTGGGAATGGGCGACCTGTAGGCCCGGGACAGGAACCAGACGTTCCAGTCAGTTTCCAAAAAGCAGCACAAGTACTTCCCCCACAGTATGAAAAATATACACCTCTACCATTCTGCAGTCATGCATTTTAGTTTCTTTAAAAAAAAAAAAAAAATCAGTAGTATGTATTTTGTTTCCCCGTCAAGTTTCAAGGAAAAAAAAAGGTCACTTTTTTCCTCTTTAAACACTGGTGTGTAGCTTATAACTTTTGGATAAAAGTGTGCCATCCTAAGGAGATATGTGCTCAGCAGATTCTGACTCAGGATAGGTGAGGCCCCAGGCTGGGGCTGGGTGGTTCCCTCCGTCACAGTGGGGGCTAAAGCCGTACTCGGGATGGGTGTCAGGGCTGGGAAAGCCACTCCCACCCTGGGCCTTTCTTGGAAAAGAGTCACACCCTGAGTTGCAGGCTCTGGGATCCCCATGACGGGCAGCCCCACAGGCCCGGCTGTGGCCCCAGGCTCCATGGCTGTGGCTGCACCAGTGACTTGTCCGGTGTGACTCAGACACCATCCAGATAGCTCGGGTAGGCAGGAGGGTCTCCAGGAAGCTCAAGGACCCTTCAGGACAGCCACACCCCTCTGGGCTTATTTATTGCTTATTTTAGAGGTGGCCAAGCCATTCTGATCCACACTAACTCCCGTGGGCTTCTGGGGCTGGACCCCCACCCTAGGGGGCCAGCCCATGGCCACAGGGCTCACAACTGACTGATAGCAGCTGCCCACTGGCCCCAGGCCAAGGGCCTTTCCCCTGAGAGCCCCCAACCCAGGGGCTAGATGCCAACACCAGGACACTGGATCCTGGGCAAGGAGTGGGCAGGAAAGCCATGTGCACACCCTTGTGGTCACCACCTTCACCTGGGCCTGGCACAGAGACACCCCTGGGCTCTTCGGGTGCTTGCGCAAGCTCTGAGTACCATCGGGAGAGGAGGGCAGTGATGGCATGGGGACTGCACAGGGGTGAGCAGGTGCCAGGGGCTGCCACAGCGGCATGGATGTGAGCAAGGTGGCCTGCCCCTCCCAGGAGCGGGGGTCTCACCACAGGGTGCCACAGCTTCACCCACCCCTCAGTGTCTCCCTGTCACCCTTTTGGCTTACAACCTCAGTGAAAGAACACAGGGTGGGGTTGGGGGCACCTGGGCCCAGGGCCCTGAAAGGAAGGCCTGACACTGCCCACTTCGGCTGGATGAGACAGGGAGGTGGCCAAGCCCAGGCCTCTCCAGCAGCTCCATCCGCTTGGCTCCGGAGCTGGGACAGAGGACAGAGGCCATCTAGAGCTGGGTGGCTTCAAACCATGAGCAGGGCCAAAAGGAAACTCAGGGACCCCACTTAGCCAACAGCAACCAGAGAGGCTGAGTGACATGCTGAAGGTCTCAGCAAACAAATGCCAGGACCAGCTCAGGCTCCTGCCCCAGAGAAAATTCACCACGGGTGACCCTACACCTGTCCTGTGGCCCCGGGCACAGCCCGCCCTAGGGAGGCCACAGCTGACCATGGGCCCAGGCCTAGCCCATCTCTGCCCAACCAGGCCAGGGAGATGGTGCAGTGTGTCGGGGTACACACTGCAAACACGCGGTGGCCGGTGGGGGACCCTGAGCTCCCAGAACTCAGGCTCCAGCCAGCACAACATGGCAAATCCTTGTCCACGACACAGGGCCCCAGCCAGCCACAGCAGGGGCAAAAGCGGTGCCACCTGGGTCCGATCTGGGTGCTGGTGGGCACAGTCTGTGCAGAGACATCTAGGGAGGGAGATGTGAGATGCCCCGCACAAGGACGGACATCAGGCAGACCTGGCCCGGCATCCCTCTGCTCAGGGGCTGGGGCAGAGGGAATGAGGCCATCCAGGCCAAGCGGGCAGCAGCTTCTCGTCCTCCCAGTTTGCTGGTGTATGAGGCAGGAGGTGGCCATGGTGTTGCCGCAGCAGCCAGCATGGGCTGGGTCCTATGTACAGTTCACCAGAGACTGGCGGCGCACGGGGTCCAGGCAGGGCTGCCCCAGGTGTGCAGCTGCGGCCTACAAAGGCCCCTTGAACTGGTTCCCGGACAGGTGCTGCCGGATGGAGGGCTTGGAACTGGCGGCATCTCCCAGCTTCCTCCAGACCACCTGTGGGGGTCAGGATGTGAGTGAGGAGCTCACCCTAGTCCTCAGCCACCCTGCTCTGTCAAATTGCCCGTGTCCTCAGAGCCACTGGGCAGAAGGGGAAACTGAGGCTGCAGGCGGCCTGGCGATGCAGACCCGTGCTTTGCCCACTCAAGGCCATGCCTGATCTGCAGTAGGTCACTGTCCTGAGGCAGCACCCTATAAAAGCCCCAGATTCCAGCCCTGTGAACCCCCTTTCTTGGTCGGGTGTCAAGGATGAGGATGTGCTGGGCGGCAGTCCATGCCACCAGTGCCATGTAGGCCGGCAGCCACCAGGGGGCACCCTGGGAGTGGGGAGAACCCCTGAGAAGGCGCAGATCTGGCTTGGGGTCCCCTGGGAAGGAGGGGCAAGCAGCAAGCGACAACAGGCCAAGGCTCCAGAGCTTTGCACGTCCCCATGGGTCCCACACAGGAGGGGATGACCACACCACGCCAGGCCCAGCCCCCACCCTGGGCTTACGTTGCACATCTCTCGGACAATGGCCTTTTCCTTCTCGCTCAGGTCCTCCTCACAGCTGTCCTGGAGCTGCCGGTCCAAGTTTTCATGCACCTCCAGGACCTGAGGGGTACAAGTCCCGGGGTGAGGACCAGCTGACAGAAGAGCCAGGCCCCCGACACGCTGCCCCTGGGCACACAGGAAACAGCACCCCAGCGCCCAGGGACAAGGGGCCACAGGAACAAAGGCAGAGAGGTGGGGGGGCCTGCTGGACCCCCTCCTTGAGTGGCACCGGACTCTGAAGCACCTGGCTGCCCACATGGTACCCAGCAGCCAAGGCCAGTCCACACGAGGCAGGCAGGGCCCCTGGGCTTCGGGTCCAGCTCCACACCTGCCCCCCATCTCCAGCCTCAGGGGTGCAACTGTCTTCACCAACCCTGGGCCTCAGTTTCCTCAGCCAAGGAGGCTCAGGACAGGTGAGTGGCACACTTCCGAGACGAGACCCCTCCCGGGCTCACAGAGGCTGCCGCCCAGAGGGTACAGAATGGGGCACTGCGCAGGAATCGGGCGGGCACAGTGTACCTTCATGGCATGCACCACCGCCTCGGGTTTCTGTCCTGCCGCACTGTAGCTGGAGGGCGGCGAGGGAAGCTCCGGCATGGGGCAGGCAGGGCCCTGTGGGGAATCATGTATCTTAGCTCTG